ATTCATATTGAACTATACGGAGACATTTTTGAAAATCCGTTTTCGCTCCAAATCGTCAGTTCTCGAGCCGTTGATTCTAAAGTAGCGATGTTCACCTCTGTCGTACTTCTAAAGCCAGTTCCGCAAAGGCAGGGGTGGACATTTAGCACTTTTGCAACTTCCCATCGACGTGTCGGTCATCAAGTGGAGCCCTTTGAAGTCGTGCAAAGCCACGAAAAGACGCCAGCCGATGTATGTAGAGAGCACCTGTGAGCTCTTGTAAAGCTGGAGCCTCACCATGGTAAATGTCACTTGTATGCTATTTTATGGCTTTACAAGAGCTCACAGGTGCTCTCTACAAACTTTGGCTGGTATCTTTTCGTGGCTTTGCACGATTTCACAGGTCTCCACTTGATGACTCGACACGTCGATGGGAAGTTGCAAAAGTGCTAAATGCCCACCCCCTCCCCCCTCCACCTTTGCGGCCTTGCAGCCAATTTTCTTTAGAAGTACGACAGAGGTGAACATCGCTACTTTAGAATCAACGGCTCGAGAACTGACGATTTGGAGCGAAAACGGATTTTCAAAAATGTCTCCGTATAGTTCAATATGAATAAAGATAGTTGTAATATTGTCACGAAGATTCAGATATGAAACGTATCGTTAAAGATTTGAAGCTTCAGGAATTGAGGCTTTTGGACTTGATCCAAACTGTATTTCCTTCAGTCTAATAGTTGGGAACAACATATGAATCATGACTTTTTCATTGAATGCTACCAGTTTTCTAGATGCTCATTTATATCTATGGTACTGCACGGCTTCACTGTTGCATTCACAGACGACAATCAATAATTCTAGGTACGCGCAAGTTCAGTTAGGTACGAGTTAGGGAATCGTGGTCGGCTGGGAGATCCGCTTTGCGGTAATGGGAGCGAACTAGCTATTCGGTATTTCCTAGGAACTTGGCTGAATGTACGTTAGGAATTCCGCGTGGAATCCGTCGTAGCGAATGCCGCGCACGTGTCCCAACGTGGTTTTCGTCGCGTCGCCGCGATGCGGGTCTCCCAACGCACACAGTTCAGACGCGCTGGGTACTGGGCGTTGCGCACCAACTCCCAAATGAGCTGAAAATATCAGGAGCAATATGGCACAACTGCAACTAAACCCAGTATCCATCACGTCTGCTTAGGTTTAGGCTTAGAAAATCGTCAACTATATAGCATCACTCTTCTAGTACTTCTCTCTTCTTTTCTTTCCGTTCTTCTTACCTTTTCCTACTCCTTCTTTCCCTCCCTTCAAAGGGTCAGTCGAACCATATCACAATGAAATGTCTTCGGGCTCTGTCAGCTAGAGGAAGTTCCTTTAACAGATGCCTTCTAGCCTTTCTTTTCGCAAATGCAGTCGTTTCGACTCCCGAATTGCTCGCTTTATTTTCATGCATCTGCTTACCGTGGGTGGAATTTGGGGCCCTATCCAGTAAGGGTGCACATTCTATTGAAATACACCCAGAACTACGACAACGGGCATCAGGAGGATGAGCATTTTGACTCAGGAAAATGTACGCTAGCCTGATAGATGCCAACACTTGACTATCTTCGGCCGGTGTCTTAGGAGACGGACAAGACGACTGTAACTTGCCGCGTCGTCCTGCGCGGCGCATCGTGCGGCGTACGCTGCAAATTCTCCATACACCATACACCTCATTATGTCGACTGGAGTAACGCCACTCACGTGACGCCGAGCGGAGGCAAGCTTCTATGCCGAAAGGTACTGATCTATCTCGTCCCTGTAACGTTCGGGCTCGAAAGCCGGTCGGAACAACTGGTTTGTCGCTGCAGCGGTGGCGCGGCGTCGCTCGTCGCGCCCAGCGCGACATACATACGAGTGTCTTGACACGTTCCAGCCTCGTCACGTGAAATTGCGTGGCAATGACTTCTGCAGCCGATGCGCTTGAACTGGCAGCAGACCTACTAAATCATCGCACCTGGCGCAGGACCACTGACCGGTAGGTGGGGGAACGAAGCTGTTACACTTTTCCGTATGCCGAATGTTCCAGATCGTTCGTTGTGTTTGACGGACGATGAGCATTTGCAGCCTAATTGATTTCGCACAGGGGAAAACTCTCGTGTTCTCGTGAACTCGTGCAGGCTCACACGTCTCGGGTTTAGAGAGACTTAATTGAACATTTTTTCTGTTTCCTCCAAAAACGTGCCGCTAACAATAAGTACTCATTCAAACGCCGGGGTAAAGGAAAGGTTAAGAAGAGATCCATGAATAATCAGCATTGGCAGCTTTACGATCCATCCCGTCCACGGGGAAAACTCGTCCAATACCCGGCTAACTCGTACGATGCACAAAGAAGAAGGTCCATATGGGACCTTAATCGGTGCGCTTTCTAGGGATTCTCTGCTGTTTCCTTCAAGATGCGCCCACCGATAATGAGTACCTCCTGTTCTTGTTTGGACGCCGTTACCCTCACCTTGCCACGTGCGCTGATTCCTAGTCTTAGGGTGGGGAAACAGATCCGGAATGGGTGATTCTTATGCAGAAAGTGCCCTGCTAGTTAAAATGAACTAGCGAAAGGAACAAGCAAAAGTGCAGAATGCCCCTCCGAAGCCGAACAGCGCCCTGGAAGTGTTGTTTTTGGAACTACTGCCCACCTAAGTGCACTGGAGCCCGATTGGCCCGTTTCATGGTGACTTCTCGTCCATTTATACTTCCGCTTTCTTTATTTTTCCTTCCTGTTCTTTTTTTGAATGATTTTGCTGATCGAAGCTTTACACAGTACAGTTGATGCTTTATTTTACCATGAAACGCATGCACATTTCAAAAATCGGCAATGATTTCATCGATGAAGCGATTCTCATCAATAATTTGTACGCTGATAGATAAAACAAGTGGCAGAAGCGTAGTACATACAAAAAAAATCTCAGACCACAATAAAATAATCAAGCAAAATTCTAGGAATCAATACCTGACACATTGATTTGTGATCTGAAAAACGAAAGAGAAGGAGGCTGTGTGGATTATTAGCTAGACCGTATTTTGTCGAACACATTTTTTATTTTTTTATTTGTAATTAAATTCACAATGACTAAATAGCTTAAGTGAAGGGCGCCACTAGAGAGCAACCCGATCGCTCGCATTCCATTCACTGGGAAATGGTGATGGTACATCAAATGATGAAAACATGTTTCAATCGATATGTATTTAATAGCCGGGAGCAGTTCGGGGAGGTGGACAATGGTCGCAACCTCCACTTGGTCCACGATCTCCACTTGGTCCGTCTGGTCCGGGTCCACCTGGTTGTCCAGGTGCTCCGGGTGCACCGTTGTCTCCGGGTGGTCCAGGTGGTCCATCTTGTCCGGGGTTTCCATTTGCTCCGGGTTGTCCATCAGGTCCTGGTGGTCCAGGAGGTCCAGGTGGTCCTGGTGGTCCATTTGGTCCGGGTACTTCGTTGAGTTTACCTGGTGCTCCAGGTGCTCCTGGATTTCCGGGAGCGCCATCGTTTCCAGGAGGACCAGGAGGTCCAGGTGGGCCAGGTGGTCCTCGGTTACCACCGTCGGCATCGGCTCCTGGAGATCCGGGATTACCTGGTGGTCCTTTGGGTCCTGGTGCTCCAGGTGGACCTGGTGGTCCATCGGGGCAATCAAAGCAGAACTCGTGCTGTGGTGGTGGTGTTGGTGGTGGTCCATCAGGGCCATCTCGTCCAGGCATTCCTGGTTCTCCATCGGCTCCATTCTCACCATCAGGACCAGGTGCTCCAGGTGGTCCTTGAGGCGATACACCGCATCCACAACAGACTCCTCCGCCTCCTCCTCCTCCTTGATGGGCTGCCTCGCCAGCTTCCACTCCTGCTGAGGAATACCCGGCTTGACGACGATCCCTGCGAACTCCAGACACTTTTGCCAGCACCTGAAATGAGAAAGATTTGTGAATGTGTCCGTTCAATTTTTGCTAGTTATTTGTGCTCTTTAAAAAGAGGAAACCCCCATTTTCGCACCCAGTATGGCTTCTTGCCGTAAAGCTAGGGAAGCAGTAATTAGTAGCGTTTTCTGGAATCAATCCCAAAGAAAGTAGCTCAATTTGATGCTGTTCACTATGTCTGGTTCATGAAGGCCTCTTATGCGTCGAAGATGACGATTAGGATCATCCTTGGTATTTCTTTTGCAGTGTCGGCTTGTTCTGGACCGGATTCCTGAGCGGCTTAGGCGTTATACGTCGGGTATTAGGGCCTGTATTTGGCATAAATCTCACCATTTATAGGAATGCTTGGCTAAATGATCAAAGGTGAATGGAGAAATATGAAGAGTGATTCATGGTAGATGGTTGCATAACCCATAACCCAATTTAATTTATTTGCCCACCACGCCCTAGCCAGCCTCCAAAAAGGAAATAGGTCGTAAAATTTCTCAGAACAAGGAAAAATAGGGCATTGGCACTCAGGGCAGAGCACTTTCTGCTGCTGGGGAAAATAATGGTTGGTAAAGCCTACCCCCCCTCCTCCCCCCACCTCCGCCGCTTCTCCCCGTGGGAAT